AATATTTTTAGGCATGTTGTCGAAACAAAGAATAGGATTAGGAACAATGCCGTTTTGGAACAGCTGGTTGAAACAATGAAGTTAGTCACGGTCTTGTTGAATTGGGGGTGCGGTTAGTAATAGGTACTTTTCAAGTTTTCAATTTTTGTTAAGAACTCTTTAACCCCGAAGCCGGAATTGGGGGTGCGGTTACTATTACGTATGCGGTTTATATTAGGACTTTAACGGTAACTGCCATCTAATATATTAGGTTGTGGTAACAGAATTTCATAATGTCAAATTATTAATCACCAAACCTTGATTCAGAAGAAGATTCTGAATTGTGGAATTCATTCACACTGTGTTCAGTGTTTTAATAACCAGAGGCCCTGCTGGGGAGGTTTTTAGTCTTCACACAATGAACTTTGCACCTGCATTTAAATTCTATATAAACTGCTACATATCTATACAGCAACTGATAAACTGTATTAATTATGCAAGGTGACTGATTAGTATGCATAAAAATGTACTAATGTACTAATTCATAATATTTCAATCTATAAAATGTTTTGCAAATAATTTGTTTGACTAGACAATGTATAGATACGCAAGATGAAATTACGCAGTACATACATCCCCTCCACATTCAAAATACTGTAGACTACTTTATTGTCGCTTGGAATTTATTTTCGCTTTTTCGCTGGAGGGATAATTCCGTGAAAATAAAATCCAGCGAATAGACTTTTTTTCCTATATTTCACATTAAACTGATCAGCGAATTAATAGCGATTAATTCCAGGGAAAATAAAGTATTCCACAGTAGTAAAGTTTTTTTTTTCACTGATTGATGCTTGTGTCCTTTTCAATTTATCTCAAAAGAATAAAGTGTACCTTCATTTAACTATTAAATAGGTGAAGTGTTCCCGGAATTACATGGTTCATTTTTCTCCAAATTAACTAAAAATTGACGAATTTATTTGAATTTAAATTCTATTCATTCACTTATTCATGCAATAATGTGGAATAATGAGACTGAAACATTGATATTCTGTCCCATGCATACTGAATGTATAGTTTTTTTTCATTCAAACACTAGAGACTCCATCTGAGTCACTTTTGCAATCAGCAACTTTCGCAGTAGAGCCTTTGAATTCACAATTGTTTCGTAGACCAGGTCATTCGGATAGTATCAGTAAGGTAGTATTGGTTTGATAATACTTTTTATTTTTACATGAGGAAGTTGGTTACTTTGTATTACATAAACGAGTCAGTTACTTCCTATTGATACATAAGTTGGTTACTTTGTATTACATAAACGAGTCAGTTACTTCCTATTGATACAAGAGTTGGTTACTTTTTATTACAAATATGAGTCAGTTACTTCCTATTGATACAAGAGTAGGTTACTTTGTATTACATAAACGAGTCAGTTACTTCCTATTGATACATAAGTTGGTTACTTTGTATTACATAAACGAGTCAGTTACTTCCTATTGATACAAGAGTTGGTTACTTTTTATTACAAATATGAGTCAGTTACTTCCTATTGCTACAAGAGTAGGTTACTTTTTATTACATAAACGAGTCAGTTACTTTCTATTGGTACAAGAGTAGGTTACTTTTTATTACATAAACGAGTCAGTTACTTCCTATTGATACAAGAGTTGGTTACTTTCTATTACAAATATGAGTTAGTTACTTCCTATTGATACAAGAGTAGGTTACTTTTTATTACATAAACGAGTCGGTTACTTCCTATTGATACAAGAGTTGGTTACTTTTTATTACAAATATGAGTCAGTTACTTCCTATTGCTACAAGAGTAGGTTACTTTTTATTACATAAACGAGTCAGTTACTTTCTATTGGTACAAGAGTAGGTTACTTTTTATTACATAAACGAGTCAGTTACTTCCTATTGATACATAAGTTGGTTACTTTGTATTACATAAACGAGTCAGTTACTTCCTATTGATACAAGAGTTGGTTACTTTTTATTACAAATATGAGTCAGTTACTTCCTATTGCTACAAGAGTAGGTTACTTTTTATTACATAAACGAGTCAGTTACTTTCTATTGGTACAAGAGTAGGTTACTTTTTATTACATAAACGAGTTAGTTACTTCCTATTGATACAAGAGTTGGTTACTTTCTATTACAAATATGAGTTAGTTACTTCCTATTGATACAAGAGTAGGTTACTTTTTATTACATAAACGAGTCGGTTACTTCCTATTGATACAAGAGTTGGTTACTTTTTATTAAAATATGAGTAAGTTACTTTCTATTGTTACAAGAGTGGTTTGGTTACTTTCTATTACCGGTACAAAAATGTGTCAGTTAATACTTCCTATTGCTACAAGAGTTGGTTACTTTCTTTTACAAAAATGAGTCAGTTACTTCCTACTGTTACAGTAACAGTGAGTCGGTTACATTTTATTATTATTACATGGGAGACCCCTTTTGGTGTTCAACTATAGGTAAGGTTTGAACTCAGCTCTACCAATCATGAGTCTGATGTAACAACCACATGACCACCAATGACCGAACTGGTTACTTCTCATTGTTACACCTTTACCTATAAAAATCTGTATTAATGGCAGAATTCCAAAAGATATGTGAGTCAACCTACTTACAAGAACAATGTTAATTAGGAAGTATTACATCATTAATTATTCATGAAGTTGTAAATACACAAACTATAAAGTTATTGTCTATATACAATACAAATATCTTCTGCCCTATGAATGTGACTCGCTTGCCCCGTCCATGCCATCAAGACCCCCTAAGTAAATGGATATTCTGGCTTTCTTAATGTCAGTGTCATCATGAACTTCTTTCCTTTGTCCTTGACCAAACAAAAGTATTATGGGCAACAATAATTCAATTTGGGCAGTATTTTGGGCAGAGTTCTTACAATGACCATATCAAATGTTTTTGGACATGCATTATACAAAAAAACATTCACACAACATAATTTTCAAGGAAGTGCTGTAATAAAAGTAAAAAATGTTTTTCTCAAACTTATTAATAAAAAATATTTTACAGTATTTTCATTTTCAATTTAATGGTTTATCTTAAAATTTTAAATATTATAAAATTATTTTAATTATACAATAAAGCATTTTACAGTCATGTAATCTAAGTCAAGTTGCTATAGTAACAGCAACAGGTTCATAATACTGGCAGTAACAGTCTGAAGTTTGTAACATTGGAAAGGGTCATGGCGACAACAATGCACTATATTGACTGTGTTTTTTTTTTTACTTCACTTTAAAATCAATCATTTTGAGTACTAGTGATCGCACAATAACTACACACCAGCTGGCAATACATTCATTCTTAGATGCGTTACACACAGAAACTCTGTTGCAAGCTTTGGGGCCTGATACAGTATTTTCATGTCTGACTGCTCGGCGAAGTAGGAAACATGTTTACAGAACGTTAGCTACTGACGGCGTACTATTGAGAAAACAATAGTTATCGTCGCGTTCGGACAATGCGTTGAAATTTCTGAAAGGCCGTGCAGGGGGTACGTACCCAAGAAAACAATAGCCGGGCGTTGGAAGTCTGCTGCGGTCAGGGGCAATAATTTATGTGCACTGCCACACAACCATGGCGGCAACAAGTTTAAAATTCAAACAACGCGCGAGAGATTTAAATTAATGACAGTGCACAGTCTCCGGAGACAGTGGATATTACAACTGGAATAATGTTCACAGATCGCGACGGCAATCGGCCGCTCTGCCGTCGTTGTACGTCAATAACTTTCGTTTTATTGTCCTTTACAAAGGCTGAGTGAAGCAACACCATTGTATTCAAAACGTCTATAAGCTTGCGCTTTCTAAAGTTTCTTTTTTTTTTCTTAAACACTTTTCAAGAGAACATGAAATAATATATCGCCGACATCTGTAATTCTTAAGTAGAACACAAACGACAAATAAATAAAACAAATACGACAAACAAAAGCGACCTACCTCTTCGAAATCTTTATCCATTGAGCGTTCCTCGGCGAGCAGCTCCGTGTAAGATCGAACGCTAAGTTGGTTAATATCTTGGTAGTATTTTGTTGAATTCTCAGTGTTAAGATTAGCGCCGAGTAGGCCAGCCATTTTCACTGTAAAATGAATCCAATAGAATAGATATAACTCCGTCGCGTTTAAGAGGGTCGAGAGAATGAATTCAAGAAAATCGATAGTCAGTGGTCACGGAAACCGCTTCTGTGGTGAGTATTATACGCGCACTGTCCGTCAAAACGAACGCATAGTCAACATAGCATTCAGATTGAAGCATGCGTCTGTTGGAATACATCAAACGATCCACGCTGAATCACTTGATGACGACATCGGTCAATGTTAAAGCCCAGATAACGGTACATAAAAAAATATCGACTGCATGCTCACCGAATTTACGCGGGAAATGTTAGACCTTTTGCGAGAAATTTGTGATACGACTAATTTGACTAATTACAGCTCAGCGGGTTTATTTTTCCCCTAAAATACCTCAGATTTCAGGAATTGCTGAGCTCCGAGCAAGATCGTGATCGCCCCCACAACGGCGTTAAAAGTAAATGCCTTCGGCTTGCACGTATTTTGATTACGTAGTTACCAGCTGTCAACCTCGTGTTCGCCGTTTCTGTTCTCCAGTGCAAGCTTCTGCTTTCTTCAATGAATCTTTCGCGTTTAAGTTTTATAATAATTTCTGTACCGACTTCAGACAGTAGAGAAAATAACTATTCAAAACTAAATGATGTTAATTTGTCATAATTAGCGAAAATAAAATTGAAATTAATCATGATGGATATCCCAGTATTTGGTGAAAACGAGGCGAGAAGGAATTCCCTCGACAAGATCTTGGAATGCCACGGACTCACATAGGAAAGCTATATATAATGTGCCACACAAATGGGTAACTTTTTCGCGAAAAATACCCCAGATATGGGTCAACATTTTTTGGAAAAAAAATCTCTAAAATCACTAAACTAAAAATGGTACGTTTTTGCCAAATTTTCTCACAAAAGTAGTTTTTTCTGGTCATTTTTCAGGACAGGGTCGATGTTTTGATCAATTTGTTCATTGCCCATCGGCAGTAGTATTTGTGACTTGATGGGACTTGATAATGACGCCGATCCAGAATAGCGACTTCCTACAATTATATTGCAGTTCCGTTGAGAATAATTCGAATAATCGCAATAGAGTGCCGTTTTTACTCAAAATTACCGAGTGCCCACGCGAGGCTCGAGATCCCTTTTGGATATGTTGGGTTACTTCCATTGGAAAGCTGTATACGTACGTTCAGCCAAATCGGGGCCCTTTTTGGGCCAAAAGTGTCCCGAATATATAAATACTAGTACATTAAAATTATAAGTATATTAAGTTCAAAAATTTGACAAAAAGCAGAAAAAAAAACGGTTCCGAGAAGGAAGGAAGGTTCTGATGACACGTGCGCATCCCTATAATTTTTCCAGAAAGCGCCCGGGGGCCTGGGATTGATCTATTCATGATCAAGGTGGTCGCCATGCAGCGCGCGTTCGAATGTACTTCACATACGTTGTATAGGTTGGATGGGTCCCACATCAAACACGGCGCGGCGTGACGACCACGCTTTATAGTTGTAATGTCGGTAAAATTTTGTTCGAAGACTTTGACATTTTAAATGTGTGTTCACAGCGGCTGCCGTGTTCGCTAGATATCCGCATCAGAACTGAGTTTCTTGCCAGTTTCCTAACATTATCGGAGGTTTTCATCATCTTACGGTGTCATCAATAAAGTTGTTGTTATTTATTATTAACATAATTAATAATATTATCTAATCGCACACGGGATTCTCTGTTCGACCGAAGATGGACTATATCTCAAACTGAAGCATTTTCCACCAAGATTACGCGACACCACACTCCAAACACTGACGGCGCTCTCACTTTCAGTATACGGAATGTGACGTATATTGCCAGTGCATCAGACCAAAAATTATCGAACATTACGTACTTCCAGGGTTAGTTACAAACAGTTCTATGGGAAGGAAATTGTAGCAGATAGTCGTAGTTCTTGGTAATTATTCTATATAGCCAAGACGTTTATAGCAATTAATGTAACCTTTATATCAATAGTTAATCTGGAAAGGGACATCGTAGAATCATACAGTTAGCTTGACCAATCCCCGTGACCAATCGCGGCTGTAGCATAAGGATCGAGAGATAATTAAGATCAAATATACCATAACCCACTTTGAGCGTTTTGAACACCAGTAAAACAAATATCAATACGCGCCCATTTACACCTTCTGTAGACGTCTCTCCTAATTAGAATATCGTGCACTGAGGTGGACCTATGGGTAGCCAGTCATGGCCATGTATTTGTTGTTTAAATAATGAATAACCAATGATACAACCTTTACCCCTTTGAGTCTTTGGTCCTTCAGTTTCCAGCATAATTGTCTTTATCGACTATCAAGGACATCCTCTCTTTCTGCTCCTATCCTAAGCACTCTTTATAAAACACCATATCATATAACGTTGTAGCTCAACTTGATTCAATTATTCCATACACACCCAGGTCGGTGGCGGGAAACAATTTCCTTGAACCTATTTTTTGTTTGTTTACCTCCTCTCCACCCACAATTAGAAATCCCATAACCAGGGAGTTAAAGCCGTCGTATGAAATTCTTTTTTTTCACAGAGTAGCGCCCTCTATCGCTGCTAAGAGAAAGGAAATTCCACGGTGTCTGTGGCGTCATTCAAGATGCGTTCCATTTGTTTGGATTCCCCGCGTTCAGACATTCCATTTCAGACGACGAGCGAAATTTTACTGTCTGTAAAGCGCATCGCGATTTTCAGTATATTCTTCAAAATTTGAGCATAAAATGGGAAATATTCATTCCACGAAGCAGAAAAGTAAGTCTCTGTTTATCACAATATTTGATTGTTTCCTAGTACATGTATTTCTTTCTCTCAACCTCCCTCAGTTTCAAAGCCGAAAGTTCAAGTTGAAAATAATGTTTAACAAAACTCTCTCTTTTTCAGAATCTGACGAGATGCGTAAACCGTCACGGTGCCTACGAAGTAAGAATAAGGTACCAAACTTTCAATATTTAAAACGCAGACACTTACCTACAAGTTTTCTTGTAATTGTTTCAAGTTTTGCTTTGTTTTGTTGAGACTGGGTTCCCGTACGCGGCTCAGTCGGGCCCGTTGATGAGGATGTTTTGCATTTTGCGTTAAATGTTGACATAACAAACAACTTCGACAACAAATGCATATTTTATTGTAGTTATCAACCAAAATGATGCCGACATTTGTTGAATTTGGTAGTCTTACGTCAATCTGATTTCACAAAGCATAGGGGGGTGAGGATTTCATGTAGCGTACACCACATCACAGCACCGTTACATTTAATCAGAAGAAAAGTACGTCATTATTAAAGCGGGGGAGTCGTCACCTACGCATGCGTCAGGTGGCCATAGCGTGTTATTGTTTACAAACAAGCGTCTACCAATTAGCCTTTGCGTTCTTAGCGTGTGTTGTTATCGTCACTTGGGACTCGATTCCCGCGCGTGCGCAGGTGACGACTCTCCCGCTTTAACGTTTGTAATAACATCATTTCAGGTTTCTCCAATGCCAACCACACCTAGAACTTTATCAGAATCGTCATCTATTATTCCAAAAGGTAAACAACTTTCTGTTATTAATTCGAAATACAATTATGATTAATATAATGTCATTGTTGTTTCTATATTTATTATTAAAATGTTTCCTCATTTTGATTTTATTCACACAATTATAGTTTGTTTGTTTTTCAAATAAAGTACAATTTAGTATAGGCTGGATGCCGTCTATGGTCGTGAAAAAATCTACGAATAATTCTTGGATGTACTCAGAATGGCTGAATTCCATTCATAATTTTGGTGGAAACTTACAGTAAGATGAAAAGTCAGACACCATCTTGTTTTCTAGGGTGCACACACGTGGCATATTGCACATGTATGATGTGCTTTGTAATGACGTCACGTGTTTTAATTGCTGTCCACAGAGATTACTTCAGCAAACCCAGTGTTTGAAAAACAAGGGAAGTCCACTTCAGTTAGTCCAATACAACTTTACTTTTTACCACTTACATCTGGTAACCAAGAAACGCCACCTCCTCTACCTGTCATTCACAAATCTGTGTATATTGATCGAGTGCACAAGAAGTTTGACCAAAGACTTGAAGCGAGAAGGACAAATGGTCCAAGTGCAGTGTCACTATTATTTGCTGGATTGACAAAGATTGCAAAAAATTCCACCTCGAAATATGGTATGTTGATTTCATGAGTTGTATACTTGCTTATAAGTCCCATCGTTTATTTCTAAAATAAAATAAAATAAAATAAAAAGAAAAGAAAATATAAAAATAGCTAACTTAAATAGTTAGTTAGTGTAAGCAAATCTGGAGAGTGATCGCAAAAAAAAAAAAAATATTTTAACGCGATCATTTCATTATTCTGCATTTTCCTGGGATTTTTCATAATTTCTTCTTTTTTATATCTCAAACAAATAACAAGTCCACACAAGATATTGTTATTATATTTCATATTCAAGATCGATTTAAAAAATATGTTTAACAAATATTTATAGTATTTTATGCTATTTTATCTCTCACATATAATTTTTCATCTTCATAATATCTTGTCTTATGTTTTATTCACAGGTGTCGAGTTGTGAGAAGAATATTGCATTGAACGTTAATTTTTCTTGATTTATTTTATTCACGTCTTTTATATCTTATAACAATTTATTTTCGTCGGCTTTTATCATATTTTTATTATATTTTATATCAGAACTTTTTTACAACAAAAATAAATTAAAGTAACTGTATATGCAATACATTACAAATGGTGACTGTGTTCTGTATGGGTGATCCGTGACTGGAACAATGAAATAATGAGTGACTTATTAGATTGGATGTAATAAACAAACAGCTGTAATAATTTAGGTTTTGAAGAACATCACGTGACACGAGGTTCATGTTTAATGCGAGGTCTATTTGATATTCTATTTATCAAGTGTTGTTATCACGTGACAGAAACTCGTGGTACGAATGGTGCTGTTGAGTCCCACATTTAAAGCGGGAGGGTT